GCATGTTTCCCACGACAGCGGGCTAAATATCCCCCCCATTTGTCTATTGCTAATCACACGTCGCTATATAAGTGCAATAATCTTGGACGCGACGTTAAACCCCATTTCACCTCACCTCACCTATTGCTAATCACCTATCAGCGCTAATTAACTGTTAGCTTCCCTTGTTAAGTTTACACTTTTTTTAAAAATCTTTTTACTTTTGTTGTCCTTACATGCACATATAAATGCTCTCTGCCTCATAGCATCCATTCACCTGATGAAGGAGTAAGTTTATACTCCGAAACGTTGCGTTCCTCATAATGTAGAAGTTGACATCCATAAATTCTCTCACTTAAATATTGTATGTCCGTCATAGAAATTACACACCGTATATTTCTTAACTTTTCTCTCTCTCTGTGTCTCTCTCTCTACCCATCCCCTCCCCCAAAACAACAACAAACTACAAAAAAAGCCAAAAAAAACCCTTAAAGGTCCCTTATAATCAAATACGGATGCCACTCTATCCTCAAACCATATGTCCAGATACGTTACTGGCCAGTAATTCTTTGAGCACAAGCATCCTTATTTACCACTGAAATCAAATAAGGGGTGATTAATAGAAGCGGCAGTAAAATATCCATACCAGGGCGCGATTATGTCCGTGTGATCTGTCTTGAGTTGTGTTTAACGTCCCTCTCAACTGTGTTTCAGATAGAGTGAGTGAGTATGGTTTTACGCCGCTTTTAGCAATATTCCAGCAATATCACGGCGGGATACACCGGAAATAGGCTTCACACATTGTACCCATGTCGGGAATCGAACCCGGGTCTTCGGCGTGACGAGCGAACGCTTTAACCACTAGGCTACCCGACGGCCCTGTTTCAGATAGATGACGCATGGTAGCTTAATGTGGGAGAAATGTCCAAAGTGGGAAAAGGAAATCATTACACAGGTCTCAGACGCATTCCTCTGTGATGTAGAAACACAGCAGTCTTGGCAGTGTCGTGGACTAAGGATCGGGATCATGTCCTGTATCTCTGTCATAGCAAATCTGAGATTCGAATCAATGATAAACTGATTCTGGTGACGAAGGCAAGCACGGATATAGTCCTAGCTCTGAAATTTAGCATTGTTCTGGCCTCAATTAGGTTTGGTAGATATATATTTTAAGTAAGATAACTTTATTTCTGGTACTTAAGATACAGCTCTTTGGAAAAACGTGGATGTGCCTCTGTGTGTGCGTGCGTGCGTGCGTGCGTGCGTGCGTGAGCGCGCGCGCGCGCGTGTGTGTGTGTGTGTGTGTGTGTGTGTGTGTGCAGGGTGCATCCCCCTTCTCTGGATAAGCGTATGAAAGGGCCGCAAAATCGAGGTGCACCACCATTGCATTTAATTCAAATCGTCCACAGTGAGTGTGTTTGGCTCAGCGTCGCTATGGACAGCTAAAGAGTCACAGTCGAACACGACAAAGGTGGTGGATGTTTACCCCTTTCATAAATAAACATAACTCAAGCATGATAACGACATACAGTTTGGACGAATCTCGAAAGGGGTGCAATAGCAAGTTGATGCGGCAAGTGGGATAAACAAACGAGGAATTTTAGCATGTGCTCCAGGCAGACGAAATCATCTGACTGTGAGAAGTTTGAAATGAGATGGTGCTAATAATGTTGTGAAGTATTCAAGGAATATTTTTTTGGTTTTGGTTTGTTGATTAACGCCGCACTCAGCAATATTCCAGCTATATGACGGCGGTCTGTAAATAATCGAGTCTGGACCAGAAATCCAGTGATTAATATCATGAGCATCAATTCACGCAATTGGGATCGATGACATGCATCAACCAAGTCAGCGAGCCTGAACCCCCGATGATGATGGTCTCAAACTGAGACCAATCTCACCGTCCCTCACCTCACCTCACCCCCACCTAAATAAATTACCCCGTTCCCCCTGTCAGACCCGTGAAGATCCGGGGTAGAATAGGTCTTCAGCAACCCATGCGTGCCGTAAAAGGTGACTATGCTTGTCGTATAAGGCGACTAACGGGATCGGGTGGTCAGGCTCGCTGACTTGGTTGATGCATGTCATCGATCCCAATTGCGTGGATCGATGCTCATGATATTAATCACTGGATTGTCTGGTCCAGACTCGATTATTTACAGACCGCCGTCATATAGCTGGAATATTGCTGAGTGCGGCGTTAAACAACAAACCAACCAACCAACCAACCCCTGTCAGATAATACGGTGTTTTTTACACGTAGTCCTCATCTGTGATCGTATGTTTCCCAGACGCAAGGTTGTTTTTAGTTGCTGACTTGTCGACCGCAGCAGACACATCGATCTTCCAGACAGTGGAATGTGCGTAACAATGTGCGCAGTTGGGCGTGACAAGGAAGCACGCTCTTTGACGTCACGCCTTCGGCTGAGTGCATCACGTCCACATTGGAGTGTTTCGTGCAATGTGCCTTCGTTTGTTTTTCACAGTGGCGACAAGATCGAATGTCACCAGTGTTAGATCATCAGACTGTTGGTCGGGGTTCGATTCCCCGGTTGCCATGTGCATGTCACATTATAGTCTTGCATGGCATCACGCCGTCACGATCCGTGAAGATCCGTGAATAGGTCTTCAACAACCCATGCTGGTCGTAAGAGGCGACTGACGGGATCGGATGGACAGGCTCACTGACTTGGTTAATGTATGTCATCGTATCCCAATTGCGTGGATCGATGCTCCTGATGTCAATCACTGGATTGTACAAACTCGATTATTTACAGACCGCCGTCATATAGCTGGAATATTGCTGAGCGCGGCATTAAACAAACAACGACCAACGTGGGTTACTGGAGTCCTATGTTCCGGAATCCCAGACAGACAGACAGACAGACAATTGTTTATTTACGTCTCACTTCTGTACAACATACTACATACATATATACATAGAACATAGATAAAAGTACAGAACAACTCAATATGAGTTATGAGAGACGAGGTCACATAAAAATAAATACAAGTAGAATTTATAAGGGTAAAATATATCACGAAGGTAAATCTATGCATTATATAAAATATTCTTGCGTTTTTCAAGTAAAAGTTTGCAGGTTTCGCCGTTAGAAACAACAACTCCTCATTGGACATAATAAAAGAGAACTTATTAACATCAGATAAAACTTGAAAAGTATCACAGAGATTCGCACATGTAGTTAAAAGGCTATCAGTAATGTTTTTATATAAAGGACAATGAAATAAAACATGGCTTTCCCAACTGCGACCAACAAGGGTGACTGGGGATCTATTCGGTCCCTGAAACCCCACGGGGTACAAACAACGTGCCAAAGGGATCATTCGTCACCACTCGCCCCTTTCCGTCACCTGCAATTCGGCTTGTCCCAGAATAACACGAGTTGGTCACGAATGCAAAGGGATCTATCTGTTCTCTCCCCGAAAAGGGGAGACAATCCTCTGTGGAATCTCTTCCGGCTGCGGAGAGCACTATAATCATTCCGTTCCGCAAGTACCTGAGCAATGAGGGTATACCAAAGCTTCCTCGTTACAAAGGTACATACAACACAGTTTCTGCATCGCAAGTATGAACCCACAAAAGAAGGGGTAACCCCCCCTTGAAGACTCGGGTTACAATGGGTCTTCAGCAGTTCATGCTTGTCTTTCCCCGTGAAGATCCGGGTTAGAACTCATGCTTGTCGTAAAAGGCGACTAACGGGATCGGGTGGTCAGGCTCGCTGACTTGGTTGATGCATGTCTTCGGGCCCGTGAAGATCCGTGGTAGAATAGGTCTTCAGCAACCCATGCTTGCCGTAAAAGGCGACTATGCTTGTCGTAAGAGGCGATCTAAGGGATCGGGTGGTCAGGCTCGCTGACTTGGTTGATGCATGTCATCGATCCCAATTGCGTTGATCGATGCTCATGATATCAATCACTGGATTGTCTGGTCTAGACTCGACTTTTTACAGATCGCCGTCATATAGCTGGAATATTGCTGAGTGCGGCGTTGAACAGCAAACCAACCAACGATCTCAACTGCGTAGATCGAAGCTCATGATGTGAACCACTGGATTGTCTGGTCCAAACTAGATTATTTACAGACCGACGCCATAAAGCTGGAACATTCATGAGTTCGTAAAACAACATAAATAAGGGGTTAATCACTCCAACACAACAGTCACGTCCTCGATAAGTAACCCAACCCAAAGGGTAAAGACAGCAGTTGTTGATGGAACGTTCCGACAGCAGTGTCGATCGTATCCAGGCAGCAGGTAGCTGATCCGTAGTGTTCCTTCTGAGTAAGCAGTCATGTGAACGTGATGAACATGCCGATGAAGGTGAAGATGAATGTCAAAAGGGGTTAGAAATTTTATGTTTCAAACAGGTTTCTCGCAAATCCAGTCATGCATGTTCAATAAGTAAGGACAGTATAAAACACGTTCACGTTCAAGGTCAATACAATTGATAAACGCTGTTTCCTTTCTCGCTTATTTAATAAGGATACAGAATGACAATAAATTGGTGATCCAGAATGTTAAAAACTAGCCTTAAATAAGCATCAGTGTTCATAATATAAAAAATGTTTGAAACAGCCAAAATATAGAAACAATCCCATCAATTTAGGCTGGATTTTTTATACGAAATAGTTTATTTCCAGAAAATGACAGGAAATTAAATAATTTGCAATGGCAAAAAACATCCCCTCCCAAACGTTTAATCAAATTGAGTATATTCTTGTTTATGTTAAGCACAAAGCTTTACATTATAATCTCTCCGTTTCATGTACGTCGGGGTGTTTACATGTGTAAACAGCTGTAATGGGACCTTTGACCCTATATCACCCAGTGCATGCTTTGTTTTAACGGAAGCCCCGTGAGCACATTGCTGTCAGCGCCTGCATAGCGACGCGGGGAAAATATGATTCACTGCGCACTCACTCACCAAAGTTGTTAAAGCGCCCGTAATAGACTCTCGCGTCAATCCGCTCTGCCAAGCTACGGTCAGGCCGCAACAGTCATTGGTATTCCCTTAATGAATATCCATATTGCCTCACAGCGCGTCATGCGTTTAGCATTGCTAATTACCTCATTGATGCAGCAGTGTTGGGGCTAGGGACGGCACAGCCGGGTGTGGAGGGGTTAATGTATGGGGGACCCCGTATTACCGCCTAACCCTGCGGTCATAGTGTGTACTCAGCGATCGTCGGGTCACGTGATACCAACAAACGCTCCGCTGCGAGTGTACAGCCAGCAATTGACAGGTGAGCAGCTCGTTCAGTCGGGCTGTATGTGAAATGGAGTTACTCAGGACAGACTCGGAGTGAAGCGGGTGGATTCTTGAATGGAGGAATACAACACCGCCTTGCTATGGGTCCCCACCGCCTCCCCACGGCTTTCAAGGCGGGGGTGTGACCTGGGATCGTACCCTCGGGCTGCTATATCGACGTGTGTTGTGTGTTGAGGGTATGGTATGGTTGGTTGTAGTATGTATACTATATTGTTTAACGACGCTAGATCGTTATCGATGTGTAATGTGTGTGTTCTAAGGTAGCCAGCATGGAATCGTGTAGCCCTGGGAATGGCAGTAGCGGCATGGGCACGTTGCTTGTACTTCAGCCCAAGTCATTGCGTGGATTCACAACCAGCGATGACTATCTATTTGCCATGAAGGAGGATTTAGCCGAATGGTTCCAAGCGCTGTATAAAATTGATATCAACGCTGAAAATTTCTTCGAGGAGTTGGAAACGGGAGTACTTTTGTGTCGACATGCCAACGAAGTTGTTCAACATTACCGTCTAAGTCGTGAACACGGAGGGGTCGTCCAGATGAAGTCGTACTTCGTCAGGGACGTCCCTGAAGCCGGAGTTCAGTACCGTAACAACGTCAAGCCGGGGACGTTCATGTCGCGCGACAACATTTCCAACTTCTTAACGTGGTGTGTCCATCTCGGTATTCCTGATGTAGTGCGGTTTGAAACCGAGGATCTCGTAATGAGGAAAAATGAAAAGAGTGTTGTGTTGTGTCTCCTGGAGGTGGCGAGGGTGGGGGCAAAGCTGGGGATGTTAGCCCCCACCCTCGTGCAGATGGAAGAGGAGATCGATGAGGAGATAGCGACAGGGGAACCACCCCCTCAGATAATCACATGTGACCTCAAGTCTCTTGACGAACTGGTAAGTGTCATGTTTATCTTGGTTTTATGTGCTGATTTTATGTTTATTACCCCTAAGAGGCCGTTGTACATTCGCTGTGGTTATTCTCTTAATCAATGTGACATTATTCCTCTTGGTATAATTAAGGTGACATTATTCTCTTGGTATAATAACATATAAAGAAGAGTTCAGAAGGTGGCTCAAAGATGGTGTCCCCGTATCGTTCATGCGTAATTAAATGCGTATAGCTATTCAATAGTCTCGTACGTCGAAATGACGTATTGTATCTTACGTCGACATGACGTATAGCTATGACGTATACCTTCACGCTGTTCTATACCTTGATTACAGCACTCGTGTGAGATTGACTCACATTTATTCATTGTTGTAGACATTATGTCATAAATGAATGGCCACAATTGCCTAACTAACTACATGCGCACTGTACGAGCCATAGTGAACGGCAGTTTAGAGCCAAGTTCGTTCATTCATCAGTGTGAAGACCATTTTACTCATTTTGTGTTGGGACAAACACGAACAGGGGTTTAATACCACCCTTCTTCACAGACACACACTCCCAGCTTCTGACTACTATCAAATGAGTACAAGAATTAGATGAATTATCACAGTGACGCTGTGAGATGCGTCGGCAGTGATATGTGTGTTGTGTGTACAATTGTATAAATAACTTGTGTGTGGTTTCAGTGATATCGGCAGTTTGTACATGGTATATTTAGTTCATCCGAGAACACAAATCTGCAAATATGCTTGGTTAAAACACCGTAGGAAACGCTTCACGGAAATGACTTTTGAAAGTGGGGCATGACATTGATTTATACCGCTTCCTTGCACAGCTGCGAATGTCATGAGACGCACGTGCTCCCTGACAACCATGGCTGGCTCCGCCAACTCAGTCATTTTGACAGGGCGATATGTTTACACGTATTTCCGATTAATAACCCTTTTCCACTACCCTAGATTCAATCTGCAGTTTACAAATTTCACAGTTCAGATCCAAGCTGCAGTTTCATAACCTTGTGTACCCTCACTTTGAACGTGGCTCGCATTTCACGAGATGCACGTGCTCGATGACAACAGAGTACACATGCTCGCCACAAGTATTACATCAGGTCCGCCCATCTCGAACAGTGGCGCCCTCTTGCGGTGGATCGTATTACTGCATGTATCTTCTGACAGACAAAACACAGCAAGACCACAGTTGTGTCGGCACCGTCACCCCAAAGCCATTATTTAATGTAGTACATGTTCCTGTTGCAAGCGAATTTGACACTGAAATAAGAAAGGCGTGACTCTTTCTTCACCAGTGTTGAACATTTCGGAAGTGAATGGGTTGTGAAGTTCCACACGGCCGGGCTCCGTCTGACCTGAAGCCAACTACTATCGCGCTATCTTGTACAACCCGTGTTAAATTTCAAAGCAGTTGATTCGTGAAGATTTCATGCTTCAAAATCTGATTTTGATTGACACGTGCGCGTGCCACAGCCAGATGTCTGCATGCAAAAAAAACAAACTTTCTTTTTTAAAACTCTGTTAAGCGACGTTTGTTAATACACAACACGTGGGACTGGATTTATGACGTGAACTAGAACCGAAGCATGTCTAATAATACAGGGGGGCTTCAGAACAAAGGAAAGTTTTAATATAACTCGTTTCCATTACCTCTAAATACCTACATCCCTGAAACGATGCTGCACACGGCAACATCAGCAGTTTGATATTGTCGATAAGGTAGGAAAGGGAATTTTGATGAATCATCTCTTTGAACTTGTTATATTTTTTTTCAAAACAAATACACAAGAGCTTCCGAGTCCGCGCGTTGAGTACACGCATATACCACACAAAAGAAGTTAAAGAACACCCCAGTTTTTCCTTATGTGGGTGTTCTTTGACTTGTTTCAAGTAGTATATATACATGATCTGTTGGGTCCGCGCGTGAAGTGCATCTGCCCTAACAGACGCTACAGCTGGTAGGTTAGTTTGCCTGGAGCGAGATTGTTCTGCGCCACAGCTCAAGTCTAAGAAGATCAACTCCGGAGACCGTTTCTTCTCTGCTCACTGCTGGGGTTTATATTCCGTTTTAATTCTCATAAATACAGCTGTAGTTTAAACTCTCCTAATCGGAAATCCAGCCGTGGAACCGTTGAGAAGTAGCGAGCGGTCATGATTGTAGTGCTATATTCATAATCAGAGCCCTGGGACATCGTGCACAAAGCGACCTCAGCACCGCGACTATTAATCCATGTTTGAGCATGGAAATAGTAATGAATGAATGTTGTTTTACGCTGACGTTAGCAATATGTGTGATTCCGTTACGTTTATAACACTGTAATATCGTTTGTTCTGCAAGGAGACCCAGTGTCTTTTGCATCAACTGTACTTTGTGACTTTGTGGACTGACGTACGATTGTCTAAGATAATTGTGGATTGACGTACGGTGGTCAAAGATGACTGTGGACTGACTTACGATGGACCAAGATGACTGTGGACTGACTTACGATGGACCAAGATGACTGAACTGACTAATGATGGTCCAAGATGACTCTTGACTGACGTACGGTTCAGTCTTTTACACCTCACAAATCCATGAAACATTCGTCTTGAGCCGTCCGCTGGCTATTGCCGGGGTATTGACCAGTGTTTGGTGATTAAGCAGCTTTAGTACATACGTCCTACTGTGTAAGTGGATGACGCAAGGCACAGGATGACTAGTCCGCTTGTCGAGGTGGACCAGGCAGCGCCCTGCTGGTAGAGATTAGATCGGCTAATCCGTAACGAGAGAATTGTTACTGGCTCCTGTGATATTTCAAACAGGAATTAAAGATTAAATTTATTTATTCAGCATACGCTGGCCCATGAAATACGTTTCAATTAAACATCTAAATATGTCCGGTGCACTTTACAAATAAAACGTCAACGCCAGAGAATAACCAGTCTCGATTATCCGACGAAACAGATTCCACAGGGCGTATAAGGCAAGATAGCCGTGTAAGTTATATGAATGGATCTCTGGAAGTCGGTGATGAAACCTGGTATTCAGAAAAAACACACCATTTATCAGGAACACAACGTTATGTCAGGTGAAATGAGATACAATGGGAGTTTAACGTCGCGTTTAAGATTATTGTACTTATACAGCGACGTGTGTGTGTGTGTGTGTGTGTGTGTGTGCATGCGTGCGTGCGTGCGTGCGTGTCCAGACTAACGCCGGCTTTATGGTGTACCCGCCCCTTAATTCCGAGCGCCAGGCAGGGTATAAACAAGTATCATCTTTTAAGATATTTTGGTCATCAGTATATGAGGTGCAAGTATTTGTATTTTATAAAGAGTTGACTGGTATACTGCCTTGCTACTAATCCGCTACTAATCGTTGTGACATCAAACGTTGAACCAGGCCCCTTGGTCATGACATGGCACGGGTAAGTCGCCACTACATACGCTTATTCAGCTCAAACTTAGTCCACCTTTGATTGTGGGGCAAAAGAGGCTCACATCATCACGTGCTTGTCTCCCCGTGGGGAGTCTGGGGCAGAATAGGTCCATCGTTCCTCATGCATATCTCCCATTAGGGATTCTCAGGAAGATTGGGTACACTTTCCCAAGCTTATCTCCCAGTGGGGATTCCGGGGCTGAATATGTCCACAGTACCCCATGCGTGTCGAAAGAGCAGTGAAGGTCGGTCTGTTACAATATGTATGACCTGGTTGACAATGTGTCACTTTACTACGACCGGTGCTCATGCTGTCAACCATTGGTTTGACTGGCCTAGACCAGATTATACACAGTCGGCGACTCGGCGGAGCTGTAGCCGTAATGTTGCTTACTGCGCCTTGAAACAACATAAGCAAGTTAGTATCTTGGCTATTTTCAAAATTGTCTTAGATATCATGGTGTTTTGACGTTAAGGTGACATTGTTTTAAGTCTAAGATACGAATTGCGTACCTTTGCGAATGGCACCGACTCCGTGGTCTAATGGTAGAGCGTCCGCCCGGAGAGCGGCAGGTCCGGGGTTCCATCCCCATCCGCGTCATACCAAAAGACGTTAAAATATGGTACTTGTTGTTACCCTGTCTGGCGCTCGGCATTAAGGGGCTAAAACAAGGACTGGTCGGCTCGGAGTCAGAATGCTGTGTCTGAGTGGGGTATTCATGTTAAATTCAGTGTGATGGCACTATAAATCGGCATCAGTCCGGACTAGTACAAGCAGCCACACATACACGTACATGCACGTCGCTAAACCCCATTTCACCTCACCTTGCGAGTGGCATATGCGTTCCGTATTTCAAACAACGCTTGTAGAAATAGAGCGTCACACACATACACATGATGTCACACTGGAAATTGCGAGCTACTCGGGGGACCCCTGAATAAACATGGATTGCCGTCATTTCTAATTTTCACCGTTTAAAGTTGCATCACATGAGATGCGGTCTCATAACAAGGCAACAACACGTGTACGTTTGGTTAACATTGTTGGCAACAGATGTCGGCTTTAATTGGAAGAAAATCTTCGTTACCGTAATCACTACTCGACTCGTATGTCATACACACCTTCTCCTTTGTCGAGTAGTATGTACTGTAATGTTAGACGCGCGTTTCCAGTTCTTCAGGATTTTGACAGCTTAATTGAATACCACCGTAAGGGTATAGGGGTGTTATTCGGACATACAGTCGAGAGACGCTTTGAAACCGCGTTAGCATTTGAATTCTGCTAGTCATGCATTTCAATTGATATGGGTGACAAATAGCTGCGCAAATATGATCTAAAGCTCTTGAAAAGATTACTGTTTGAAACGACGCTGGTTTGAATTTTTATTGCCGTTGGGTTTGAATTCAACTTTTAAACATAGTGGCGGGTTGTGCAGTTGCTATCTCCAGGCATTCTGTTATGTGTTTTATTGTACCGTCGTGGAATCAAAATATCAAATTTTTCTTCACCGGTAGACTGGCAATAACTCTCGGAAATGAAAATATTATGATGTTTTGTTAAATTGTCTTTTAA